GCTTGCATGTGAAATCAGTGAAATTGTTCTGCAGTTTCCACATTCGGTTGGGTTGCCTTTCTTTGGGATAGGAACAAATATCGATCTCTTCCACTCAGTTGGAACCAATTAGTTTCATTAATTATTTTATTACGATATATAGCTTCTCTTTCATGGACACGGTTTTTGGGAATAATTAAATATTCTATCAGAACCAAGGAAGTGTATGAATACAAGACTCAATACTTTGTGTAAACCAGACTAACAAAGTATTTTAACACATATAATTTTTAAAAGGCTCATGGGGCTCTGAGAGTGGGTTTACAGACAACTTTTATATTCTACTTATATTTTTCTATAACATTAGTAAATATATATTGACTTTATAATCAGGAAACATATTTTAAAATTAAAGACATATACTCATTTTCATTGGGTCAGAAACGAGTCATACCTGACCCTCCAGTGGGTTTCCACAGGCTGTGTATCACATGGAAGGAGATTACTCCTCTTCCTCCCTCAGAGCAGCTGAAGGATTTAAACCTCACGCCTTTGCATTGGCAGCATCTACTAGCATGTTGACTATATTACATATATTGCGCTCCTTAAGGTTACTGGCACTCATTCATTGATCTGAGATTCACCTTCACAGTCACAGAATGAATATAAGCTTTAAAAAAATTTTTTTTTATCATTTTCTTTTGTGTGTGTGTGCATGTACAGTCAAGTCAGATCTGACTTGTACAGGATATTGTCCCTCCTTCTCCAACAGAGCCTCTGGTGGAGCTGAACTGCATACCTCTAGAATTGCAGTGCAGCTTCTTACTACTAGGCCACCAGAATTCCCCTGAATATAAGCTTTTTGAAGGCCAGATTCTACCTTAAACAGCCTCACTGGCATAAATATTTAGAAATTCATTGATATATTCTCACTAACAGCCTTCAAAGAATTAGCAAAGTATTCTGATGGTAATCCAGTGGATGTATGAAAGTTAAAGAGTTGTTTTCAGATATTATTCTGCATTCTTACTTCAGATAGCCTTTATTTTCAAAAGTTCAAATATAGCAAAATATAAAACTAACACAATAAAAAGAAAAACTAACAATAGCCATTCAGCCCACAATACAAATGAACAAAATAAAATGTAAATGAAAGACTATATGAAACACAACGTACATGAATGATAAAAAATTGTTTGTTGCTACGTGCTGTCAAGTCACCTGCAACTCACAGTGACCCTACGTACAACAGCTCTGAAGTCTGCCCTGTCCTGAGCCAGCCTGACTCTGACACCCCTACCTCCATTGTCTCAGTTACTTATCAATCCATCTCATCCAGGGTCTTCCTCTCCTGTGCTCTGTCCGTCCACCCTCCCAAGCATGATGTCCTTCTCCAATGACCGTTCCCTCCTGGCCACATGCCAAAGTATGTGAGGAAGAGCTTCAAAATCCTAGCCTCCAAAGAGAAACTTATTTTCACCCTCTCCAAGACAGACCTATTTGTTTTACTGGTGGTCCATGATACATTCAAGACTCTTCTCCAGTGCTGTAACTCAAAGGCACTGATTCTTCTGTCATTCTTAGTCACTGTTCAGCTCTCTGATGTATAGCAAGTAATTGTGAAAACTATGGTCTGGATCAGGCACACCTTAGTCTCTAGACTGGCATCGTTACTTTTCAGTACTCTGGAGAGGTCTCTGACCACAGATTTTCCCAGTGCAATTCATCTTTTGATTTCCAGACTGCTGGTGCCAATAGTGTTGATTGTGGAGTCAAGCCAGCTATAAAACCTTAATCTCTTCTCCATCTATCATGGTGCTGCCAATTGGCCCAGTGGTGAGAATCTTTGTCTTCCTGATTTTGCATTTCAATCCATATTGAAGACTACAGTCCTTGACTTTCTGCAACAAGTGCTTCGGGTCCTCCTCAATTTCAGCAAGCAAGGCTGTGTCATCTGCCTAACGTAGGTTGTTAATGAGTCAAAGCCTGATGCCACATTCCTCTTCATAACGTCCAGCCTCCTGAATGATCTGTTCTGCATATAAATTGAAAAAGTATGGAGACAGGATGCATCCCTGACACACTCCTTTCCTGATTTTTTAAGAATGCAGTATTTCCTTGCTCTGTTCTGAGGACTACTTCCTGGTCCAAGTATAGGTTTCACATGAACACAATCAAGTGTTCTGGAATTCCCATTCTCCTCAAGCTCAGTCACGATTTGTTGTGATCCCAGAGTCGATTAAATGCTTTTGCATAGTCAATGAAACACAGATAAGACGTTCCTCTTGTACTTTTTGTTTTCTGCCAAGATCCATCTAACACTGACAATAATGTTTCTAATGCCACAGCCTCTTCTAAACCCAGCTTTTATTTCTGGTAGTTCTCTGTCAAGATACTGTTCCAGTCATTTCAGAATAATCATCAGTAAGATTTTGCTTACATGTGATATTAGTGATACTGTTTGATGATTTCCACACATCTATTGGGCCACCTTTTTTTATAGAATGGGAATATATATGTTGTTGTTGCTGTTGTTATGTGTCGTCGAGTTGTTTGCAACTCATAGCGACCCTATGTACAACAGCCCTAAACCCTGCTCTATCCTGTGCCAATCGCATTGCCTCTGACACACCCATCCTGATTACCCCAGTCACTGAATATATATAGATGTAAATTAAAAAAAAAAAACAACCCTTACTGTATAAGTTTATATAATAATGTCTGAATGAAAAGCAAATTGAAGAAAACTTAAGAAAAAACCACAACAAACCAAAACCACGCATTCTCTTTGAAGTTATTTCAGTTTAAATGTTACATCCTCTCAGAAGTATTCACAGATACCAACAAAACCCAGTATTAGTCATGTACAGTCTCTCATAGTACCATTTCTTTTCTCTTCATAACATCATTAATAATTGTTTTTTGTAGCTACATGCTACTGAGCCAACTGGGACTCACATTTACAATCTCTAGGTGTAAGAGATGACACAGGTGTTTACGTGATTGTTCAATGTCTCCCTCTCTAGATTGAAGATCCTTGAAAACAGAACTGTGTCTGTTTGAGTTACTATCTACCACAGTATGTCTGTCCAGAGAAGATACCTAATAAATATTTACCGAATAATTAATCTGATCTAATAAAATTCCAGAAAATATTTACCTAATAAAATCTAATAGTGATAAGGTTACTGAAAACTCCAGCTGAACAGAATGACTATTCACCATTTGATAATTTACAAAACCAGAAAGAGTTCCTTCTGTAATAGGTTTTTCCATTTGCACACTATGTTGAAAATTTTTTGTACTTTCATCTTCTTTTATTGGTAAACAGCATTCAAGTTGGTCAGTGATCTGCAAATAAAAGTAATAAAATTACTGAACAAAGAACCAATTGTGGATATTAATTTTCTAATAATTGAGGTGGTGAAAAGTATACTTATGTGAGAAATTAATAACAAACTACAGTACAGAGAAGCATCATAACAAACACAAGCTTAATCCACATATGCCACAAGGGTTCCTTGTATAGAGCTAATTCCAGAGGCAAGATTCAAAGTCTGCCCAAGATCAGAGACTACAATTCTTAAATGACACGCTCTATCAAAATTTATATCTATGGCCTTTCCTAGTACAATCTTTACCACAGGGCTTTCTTTCTCTGTCTCTTTGAATATTCAATTCTTTCCTACTCAGAATAATAAAAAAGTTAATCACATTTCCTTTTTTTTTTTTTTTGCTGCAGAGGTAAGAAAAAATGTGGAGGAACTCTTTTTATCCTCCTCATCAGAAGAGCTAACCACAGAAATAAGCAGTGTCCATACAAGGCAGATCTGATGAACCATTCATTGTCTTACCTTGAAATTTTCTGCAGGAGCAATTTCTATGTTAGCACTTTTCAACTCTGAACCACTCTTTATAGCAAGTGACCAGACCATCAATAAACAATCATCTTTCCAAATTTTGTAAGAAGACACTGATACGGTTTCATTACTACAGACTTCCACAGGATCTGAATGCATGTGTTCCGTAGGTTCTTCCAACAAAGAAGAAGCTAAAGAGATTTCATTGGCAACTGAAGCTGCAGTAGATGGAGACGGGTGAAATACCTCCAAGCTGTTGTCAGCAAACAAAGAAGGCGCAGACAGGTTGCAATGTGAGAGTTTCTCAACCATGTGCAGTTCTGTGAATGACTCAGAATCCAAAAGTTCTGAATTAAGGGAAAATGTCTTTAATTCTTTGTCTCCTCTATCCTGCAAAGTATCCAGATAATAATCTTCTTCATAAGACGCATTTGACAAAGAACTAAAGGATGAGCTGATCATATTATGAGCACTGGTTGCTTCTCTACTTTTTACTTCTTTGATTTTAGATTTCCTTCTGAATTTGTGAGAGGCAGTATCTGCTTTTCCCAGCTGTAAAAATAAAACATAATACTATAAAAAGAAATCTTTTTTACTGAACATGAGTTTTAAACATTTATCTGTAATTTCAGATGAATAATTTACTAACTTGCTAAAGTTCTATCTACAAAGTATAAATTAACAAAGAATCAGAGATGACTAAAATATCAAGCCCTGAAATTCTGACAGGTACATAACTTTGAGCCATTATCTAAAGTCAATTTCTCATTAAAAACACATAAAATCAGGAAAAGAAATAAGGTCAAAAAGTCAACCAGGAACAATTCAAAAAGCTTATGAAATCTCAGAATTTAGATTGCACAAGCTAAAAACAGTAAGAAACCTAAATTGTACACCTGAAAAATGTTGGCAAGTGCTGTTAGGTATATTTTTACAATTAAGAAAACACAGTAAGAAACAAGTCTTATTCTTAGTGTCTCAAATTGTCCTGTAAAAAAGCCTAAGAAACCTTCAAATACAAGTAGGGCCCAATGATTTCATGACATACAGGCAATAAGCAGGGAAGAAAAACTTTCAAGAATCAAATGACAGCAATTGACTGGAACCCTAAACATGAAAGAATTCCATGACTTTGTAATGAAACCTGGCGACGACACACCAAATCTGCCACCTTGATCTAATGTTTTGAGAGGTGGCCTATTAATCTATGGAGAGCACAATGGTTCCTTTAAAGTAAAATCAGTGCAGCAGACTGACACTATTCTAAGCCCATGTCTCCATCTTCCTGGGGTCTTCCGCACTGGGTAGCCATCCTTTAATAAGAAACTACATACGCCAGAAGATAGTGGAGTGATACTTTATTCAAATACTTACAGAAAAGAAATAGCCAACCTAGAATCATATATATTGAGAAAATACAGAGAAGAAATAGCCATTCTAGAACCATATACCCTGAGAAAATATCTTTTATAAATGAAGGTGAAATAAAAAAACTTTTGAGACAAAAGGTGAACAATCTTTCACTACTTGACTTGAAGAAAATAGTATCAGATGAAAACTTGGATTCATGAAAGTTTAAAAAGACAAAACACAACAAAACTCATTGCTGCTGAGGTGGAACCAACTCACAGCTGACCTTCTACTGAGTTTCTGAGGCTGTAAATCCCACAAGAAGGGATCAGTACTCCCTCTCCTGAGTCACTAGTGGATTTGAAGCACTAGATAGGCACAGTCTTTGTGTTAGCAGCACAGCACAGTTCCTAAAGATTAGATGACCAGACTAACTGAAATTGGATACAAACAGATAGAAAATAGAACAAATTTTTGTCCATTTTTTATTGACTAAAAAAGAGAGTTAACAAAGGCAAAAACAGTTACGTCTATATTGTGAGCTTAGAAGATATAAAATGAATAATTAGAATACAAAGAATAAGACAGGTAAGTTAAAGTACATAAGTACAGAGATCCTACACTACACATGAATTGGCATACTATCTGAAGATGTTAAAGATGTATATTATAAAGCCAAAAATATTCACCAAGGTAAACTGTATTATATGCCTAAATTAAGTTTTCATAGATTGAAAGAAACTGAAAGCATAAAAGCGTTACTGACAACCAAGAATTAAAATATTAATAGAAAAATATTTGAAAATATCTAAATAAACAGAAATTAATAGTTCAAAAAGGACTTCTAAGTGAAATGATAGGTTATTTTGAACTAATTAAAAAGAAAACCATAGCATATTAAAACTGGGAGAGCACACTTTTACTTACTCCTCAGCAAAAAGTTGACTGAGCAAGTGAAAACAAGCAAAGTTCCCAGAAATCTGGGTAACACCTTAGGTGCTGGTGAGTCAGGGTGAAGCCAGAAGAGAGAGGGAACAAAAGCTGGGGAAACCTGTCCACTGACCTTGGGACACTTGCTCACCATAGCCATTCTGGGACAAGGCAGGGAAATACCCGAAACAAGGAACACAGGAAGGGATGTAATCTGAGGAAGCTAGAGCACGATTTTTTTAAGATGGCACAGACTGGCGTGGGGAGCCTAAAGAGGGCAAAAGGAGGCTGTGGTGTTGTGAGAGAATTCTGTGGAATTCTCACTGTATCTCAAGATTAGAAGGGCCCTAGGACCAGGAAAACAGCAAGGGCAGCAGGGTGAAGAGAATACTTAGGACAGACAGCAAGACAGTGGGACATGGTTAGCTCCCTACCTACAGTGGGCCATCACTGAAGAGACTGTGAAGGGATACCTGTGAGGAAATGACAACCATTCCCCAACCTCATGGCAAAGCTGAACCTCATAATTCACTCCAGAATCTGCAACCAGCTAAACCCCTACTCCCACATGCCTGAAATTCTAGACATCAGTCACGCAAAAAGGGTGAAACCAGGCTGCTCCCTGGAGGCAAGGATTTTGAAACTTCACCTCACATACTTACATGTTGCCAGAGGAGACCAGCCTGTGGAGAAGGACATCATGCTTGGAAGGGTGGAGGGACAGTGCTGAAGAGGAATACCCGGGATGAGATGGACTAACACAGTAACTGGGGTAACAGGTGTGTCAGAGACTGTGAGCCTGGCTCAGGATAGGACAGGGTCAGAGGTACTGTGCATAGGGTCGCTATGAGTCACATGTGATTCGATAGCACATAACAACAACAATGAAACACTGCTTTGTTGTCTTATATCAACATTTCTTGTCACTAAGAAAGAATAATTCCAATACTTATTTGGCAAATAAAGAGGGACGCTATATTCAGTACATCCTATTAGTTTGTATTTACCAATCATCTGGAAACTTGAGCAGAAACAGACAATTTTCTAGGTTTCAGGTTTCAGACTTTATTTAAAACTGCTGAGATTGTTTTGTGCAACTTAAATTTTATTAACTGATAAAGAAATTAGATGAGTTTCCATGTAGACTCTCCATATATTGTTATATATATTCAGTTTTGTTTTATTTGCTTTAAATTTTGTAGAATAATAGTTTCCCCTCAGTTGACAAATGTCATTTGAAATAGTTAAAAAAACCCCACAAAACCGATCAGCAGTAAGGAAAAAACCTTAAGGATAAAAGTGCCCTCTAGTGGTTGTTAAGAGAGATACCAGGCCCACTGCTGATGTGTTCATTCTGACTTCAATGGCCTTGTCGGGTATCGTAAAGTGGTACCGAGGGGGCTCTCAGAGTAGTCTTTGTAGAAGAAGAATGTTACATCTTCTCCTATAGAGAAGCAGACAGATGTGATGTGGGTCCTGAACTTGGCCCCTGTGCTACCAGGGCACCCAACCAGAAAAAAACTCTTATCACAAAAACCAGAATGAAAAGAAAGGTTCAACAAAAAACAAAACAGTAAAACACACAAAAAAAATTATGAAGAACGGATCAAAAGCAAAACATAAATAAGAAGAAGTTTCCTCTCTTATTCACTAATACAAAGACTAACAAAGAATTGGTACCCTTCAGACTATGGTACTAAATACAAAAGACTCACAGATAACAACTAGTGGAGATAAGGTAAAAATAAGGAACAAAATTACAAACTCAGTAAAGACATTGAGAAAGTTTAAAAAAAAATCCAAAAACAACTACTAGAATTTAAAACAAATGAATTAGCAAAAACCCAGAACAAATGAACTAGAAGAAAAAAAAATAACTGAACTTATGTCTCAAGAAAAAAGAACAAATCCAAAGGAAACATGAAATTTCATTTAAAAATTTTCAACTGAAGAATCTATGATAACAAAGCAGAAAATAAAATTCTGATAATCAGAGATGTTATTACAGTTCTTAAAGACTTCTTAAAAAAAGCATTATGAGGTTTTGGGTTTTTTTTTCCCAAATCTTAGCAGGCTTTTAAATAGAAAATGTTAATTCTAAAAAGAGGCACAAGACAGAGTACAGTCTCAATCAGTCTCAATCCTACCTTTTTGCCCTAATGACAGAAAAAGTTGGGTTGAGGAGTGGAAAGGTATAAGCTAACTTTATACAACCATTTGTTCTCCTACTCTGGCTTCTGCTTGACGCCTTCTGAATTATAAGAAAGATTACAGAAATCAAGATTCCATAAAGCAAAAGAAAATATACTTTTTTGTTTAAACAGTTTATTACTTTGTAGTGATAGGCAGGAAGGAAAAAGTATACTGAGAACCTGAAAAGGCTTCCAAACCAAAGACCCAAGCCCAATGCCACTGAGCTAGTTCAACTAATGGCAGCTCTCCCCTGGGTTTTCAAAGCTGTAACTCTTTACAGGAGGAAAATGCCCATCAAATAGAGGGGTTGATAAGAGTTGAACCACAGACTTTTCAGGCAGCAGTTCAACAGAGTGCACTAAGCTATGAGGACTCCCTAAGACGACATCTGCATCATTTATTTAGTTAGAAAACAAAAGCTCTGGCAGTTGGAGTCCACCAACAGATTTGAGGAAGAAAGATGGTCAATCTCCTCTTGAGCAATTCACAGTCACCAAAACCCAGGGGCAGGGGAGCTATGGACAGGTTCCATGTAGATGCCAGTGACTGACTGAATGAACAGAGATTATCTTTAGGATGAGCTGTGTTTTTTCTCAGATGAGCACATCAAGTCTAACAGAAATGGTAGTAAGACCAGTGGATCTCGAAAAGAGAGAGGCATAGATAAGGACTCTAGCATGCCATGCAATCTGGGCTAGTGCTGAGAGTGTTAAAGGGAAATATTACCAAAAGAGCATAATTTAAAAACTGAAAACATGTCAAGCTGAAGAACATTTAGCTCTAACAACAATCTTACAAAGGTTAAACTTCACCAGTCCACGAAACACATTCTCAAATGTTCAAAAATAACACCTGTCCTTCTACCTCAATTTTTCACTTTTCAATTATCAAAATAATATCATCATATAAAATTTTTAAAATAATCATACTAATATCTAAATACAGTGATCATTTTAATATAATGTACTTGGTCGTAGTTTTTTTTGGTGTCACTGAGTACAACAAATATTGACCCCATAAACAACAGATCTGAACCTGTCTTATTCTGTATCAATCTCAATAATACCTGACACACTCCGCCCTATTGTTGCATTCTCTTTTGTCAATCCACCTGGTTGAAGGTCTTCCTCTCCTTCGCTGACGTTTCACCTTTCCAAGCGTGATGTTCTTCTCCAAAGATTAACCTCTCCTAGCCACATGTCCAAAGTATGAGAGATGAAGAGCATTACCACGCTTGCCTCCAAGGAGCACTCTGGCTTCACCTTCTCTAAGATACTATCTGTCTGTTCTTTTGGCAGTCCATGAGAGATATTCAGTACTCTCCTCCAACAACACAAGCCAAAAGAATCCATTTTTCTTGTCTTCCTTATTCACTGTCCAGCTCTCAGCTGTAGAGCAAATGACTTAAAATAACACAGTCTGAAACAGGCACACTTTAGTCCTCCAACTAACATCATGGCTCCTCAATAATTTGGAGAGGTCCCTGACTACAGCCTTTCCCAGTGCAATACATCTCCTGATCTCCAGATTGTTGATACCAAGTGTATTGACTGTGGATCCAAGTAAGAAGATGTTGAAAGTTTCAATGTTTTCTCCTTCTATCTTGATGTTGCATATAGGTCCAGTGGTGAAATTTCTTTTTCTTGATGTTGAGATGCTACTATGTCTGATCTTTTGCAGCAAATGTTCCAAGTCCTCCTCATTTTCAGCAAGCAAGGTTGTGACATCTGCATAACACAGGTTACTGATGAGTCTCCTTCCAAACCTGATGGCACATTCTTCTTCTTAGAGTCCAGCTTCTCAAATAATTTGCTCAGCATATAAACTGAATAGGTATGGAGATAGGATACCACCCTGATACAAGGCTTTCTTAATTTGTTTTAGTCACAATTTCATTTCTTCTTAAACTGTAAGCAAGATGTAAATAAAATTTGTTGCTAAAAATATGTGCTTTTTCACTTTGCAATGTAGTATTGATAAATTTTAACAGCTTAATATATTTTGAGTGAATATAATTTACATAACCACTCTGTTATCTGATAACTAAAACTGAATCCTTTTGGCACTATTAAAAATAGCATTTCTAGCAGTACTTTTTTCCACAGACATATCAGTATCATATACTGTTGAAGATCATTCAAAAAACAGCTAGAAGAGAATAGAAATAGAGAATTGCAAGAAGTTCAAGAAGGATTTAGAAAAGGCCATGGTACCAAGGATATCATTGCTGCTGTCAGATGGACCCTGGCTGAAAGTAAAGAATACCAGAAGAATGTCTATTTAAGCTTTATTGACTATGTAAAGGCATTTGACTATGTGGATTATAACAAGCTGTGACTAACACTGAGAAGAATGGAAATTCCAGAGCACTTAATTGTTGTGTTCATGTGAAACCTATACATAGACCAGGAGGCTGCTGTGCTAACAAAACCAAGGGAACACTGTATGGTTTAAAATTAGAAATGGGGTGCATTAGGGTTGTATTCTCTCTCCATACCTATTCAATCTGTATGCTGAGCAAATTATTCAAGAACCTGGGCTCTTTGAAGAGGAATGTAGCATCAGGATCACAGGGAGACTCATCAATAACCTGCATTATGCAGATACAACCTTGCTTGCTGAAAGTGAGGAAGACTTGAAGCACTTGTTGCAGAGGATCAAAGAATACAGCCTTCACTATGGATTGCCTCTCAATGTCAAGAAGACAAAGATTCTTACCACTGGACCAATAGGCAGCATCATGAAGGATGGAGAGGAGATTGAAACTGTCAACAACGTCATCTTACTTGGATCCACAATTAACAACCTTGGTACCAACAGTCAGGAAATAAGATGCATGGCACTGGGAAAATCAGCAGTTAAGGATCTCTCCAAATTATTCAGGAGTAACGATTTCCGTTTAAAGACTAAAGTCTGTCTGATTTCAGCCTATAGTCTTTCCAATCACATGCTATGCATCTGAGAGCTGGACAATGAATACAAATGATAGAATAATTGGTATTGGGGGATATGTGTGTGTGTGTGTGTACACTAAGTCGACACATAGCTGATCCTCCCGCAGGTTTTCAGAGTCTGTAAATCTCAAAGGAGAAGACTGCCCATCTTTCTCCTGTATGTACAGATTACAGTCAAGATTTCTAATAGAAATCTTCTATAAAGGTTTTAAAATGTTTTCTTCTAAAAACGGGGTACAGATATTTTGATGAATATAACTACTTACCAAACTGATTGTACTTTCTGATCCTAGTCCAACAAATAATGATGATGCTAGTAGCTGCTTTTCTTTCTCCTCTTTGGATTGCTGTGTAAGTGCTTGCGGTTGATCCTTTTTTGTTCCAGTATGATCCACATTCTCCATTACACTTTCTTGAGGAATAGACTGAGCTTCAGCTTCATCACCCATGGCATTTTCCTTCTTAGGAAGATAGCCCTCTTTCCCCCACAATTTCTTGACACCATCCAGCTTCAAGCTGTTTGTCCTAAAGAGATTATTAAAAAAATCAAGTCATTTTAAATCTATTTTCTTGATCCATTTTTCAAAAGATATCACTGACTTTTAGAAACCACTTCTATGTTATATTCTAGATATCAGAAGCAAAACCAAGATTTCTTAGATTTTATAGTGACACAAACCTCACCTATTTCCCAAAACCCAAAGGATTTGAAGCACTGAAACTCTAGACTTAGCAAAATTCCAACCATTTAATTTTCACTTAACTGCCCTAAGACTGTACAAAAATAGAACTACTGTAAATCAGGATTTTTTTTTCTCCCACTGATTTTGTTTTTAAATTCTCATGAAGTAAAAACCAGAAATTACTTTTAAAGTTTCTTAGCCATCATCTTTCAATGACGGAATTAAACAAATACAAATGCGCTACAGAAAAAGCTTTTGAAAGCAAAACATTGTGCAAATGAATGCCTATGTACAAAATATGTACAAAATTACTTTCAATCATAAGTTTTTTATGTTACTCCTAGTTGCATTTCCCCCAAATATTCAAACATATTTTCATTTTTTAAAAATGGAATGAGCTTTGCTGTAGAAAAGTAAGATTTCAGGGAAAAGCTTAAGAGTTGGGAATTTTTAGTACCTAAATTGAAGAATTAAGATAATGATTAAGAGTCAGATGTCCAGTCCAGGAAGCCTATGACGAAGTTTTTAATCGGCAAAAAAAATCCAGGGCTAAGTTAGAATCTGAACTCAGTGTTTTCCTAAAAGTTATAGTGGTGACTCTGGAGTGACTAATATAACCATGGTGCAGGATGAAACAACTAAAGACTGATTCTATTGTTTTTATATAAGAATTATGTGTCCTTGGCACTTGGTTCATTTTAAGAATCCTCCATCATGGTCAAAATTAATATTTTAAAATTCTGTACAAGATGGTAAATAAATCTACAAGGGATATTCAGAAATATTTGTATTGAGTATTATTTGTGTCTGATTTTCTACAGTAAACAAGAAACAAGCTGAAAACTCCAGGTAATTGGGCTTCATAAGTAAAGAACTAATGAAATCAACTACTTAAGTGGCTTAAGAAAAATCTTACTGTTAAAAATGAACATCCTTATAAAAACAAAACAAACAAAATACCCAAAGGAATGTCCTAAAGGTCCTTTTTTACAAAGTGAATTTTACTGCTAAGTGCTCCCTTACAAACACCTTCATTCTCCCGTTATTCCTAGAATAAAAAATCAGTTTTAAAATTTTTAAGTTAAAAGGTAAGCAACAACTGCAAAATCCTGTTATTTCATAAACTAGGAAAAAAAACTAGGGAGCCAGGAAATCTCTGTCTATGTGATTTACCACCTTGGAAATCCAATGGAGGGTCAGCTATGGGTCGACTCCAACTTGATGACAAGAAAGACATATAATACATGGTTTTATGCATCTTTCTACTGATTTCAGTCAGTCCTCTCAATCACAGATGTACACTCTGACCAGGAAACTTTCAAAGGATTAGACGTGTAATTTAAAAGTAAACTCCCAGCTTTGCCAAATGTCATTTCTGGACAGTCACGCAGAATATACATCATTTACAAGCACATACAAGGAAGACCGTAAATGAGCTAGGGTGACACAGTGGTGGAAAAGAAAAAAAAATGGGCTCAAATCTAATAGTAATTGTGAGGATGACACAGGGCTGGGAATTCTCTAGTACACAGAATAACAATGAGTAGGAACCAGGCCCCCAGATACTCAAGTTTAGTACTAAAACAGCAGTGCCGTCACCGTATCTGCTCCCAATGCTAAGAATACCAAAATTAAAAGCCTGGGAAAGAAAATGTCCATGTCAAACAGAGAAGAAAGAGAGGGCAAATCATTTAGTTCAGTGTATCATTCTACCTTATTAATAACCTGTTTGTGTCATACTAATAAATACTTCATCACCTCAATTGGAGATTTGACACTAAAAAGGATGAATATAAAATACTTCACACTTCACCAAAGAAGACATTCAGATGGCCAGCAAACACATGAAGAAATGTTCAAAATCCCTAGCTCTAAGAGAGATGCAAAACAAAACAACTATGAGATATCCTCTCACCCCAGTCAGAATAGCAAAATTTAACAGAACAGAAAGCAACATATGCTGGCGAGGTTATGGAGAAAATAGAACCTTTATTCACTTTTAGTGGAAGTGTAAAATGGTGCAACCACTATGGAAGGCAGTATGGCGCTTTCTTAAAAAGTTGCAAATAGAAATACCATTTGACCCAGCAATTCCACTACTGGGAACATGCCCCAAAGAAACCATACCCCATACCCGCCACCCAAGCAGATGTATACACACCCATGTTCATTGTGGCTTCGTTCACAATAGCAAGGAGTTGGAAACAACCTAAGTGCTCATCAACAAACGAATGGATAGAGAAGCTGGGGTATTGTCACACAATAGAATACTATGCTGCACTGAAAAACAAGGACCTCATGCAATATTGTTCAAAATGAGTGACCCTGGGGGACATTATGCTGAGTGAAATATCTCAGTTACAAAAGGACTTATATTGCATAGTACCATTGTTGTAAAATGGGACTAACATTAGGGTTGGGGGGGAGAATGAGAAAGATGGGATAAATTATTCATAAAAGAAAAATACTTAAAACATTGCTAAAGTTTGGTATATGTTGTTTTGATTTCTTTTTTTCATTTTATTTGAGTAAAAGTTTATAAATCATATTGTATTTTAATTGAAAAGTTTATTTTTATAACACTAATGATAGCTGAATAATATAATTAATTACACTGCCTAATCAAACCCTTTGACATTTTCTTTAAAATAAGGTTCTGGGAGCCCTAGTGGCCTACAGGTAAGAAACTGCACTGCAATCCGAAAGGCACATGGTTCAAATCCACCAGCTCTTCCACAGGAAAATGGGCAATCTCCTCCTGTGCGATCAACTGCCTCTAAAAACTTGTTGGAGGGTCAGCCATGGGTTGGTTCTGACTTGATGGAACTCAACAACAATAATGCAAAGAATAGGTAATAAAATAAGGTTTGTCAGAGACAAGAAAGACAGCTTCCCTACTTACCTGTCACATTAGGATATTGAATAAAATTATTCAGACTGATCACTAATATTATTCGGAAAATAGAAGTTCTGACTAGCAGTAATGATGATGATGGCAATATTGATAATTATCAACTAAGAATAATTATTAATAGTATCACTTACCTTTAAACACTTACCATATACTGGGCATTTTACATAACTATAATTTTAAAAATTTAATTTGTTTTTAAAAGTACTGAATATTACTTCCAAAACCAAAATCTATCTTCAATGAATGAAAATGTAGATCCATGTAAGACACTTATCATGGTAGATTAAAGAAGCTATTAGTTATTTTAAGATAAGTATATAGCTTCCTAGGTGAAGGCAGTTACCTTATGCTCATTTTATCTAATCTGGCTACATTCCCATGAAATAGTTCTAAGTATTAATAGAAGAACAATATAGATGAGGAGGACTACAGAATGATATGCTGGATGATATTATTACTATGCTCAAAGTTTGTACACATGACTTAGTTCACAGGGAGCTGCCTGCTATCCCAAATGTGGCATCTCTAAAGAGGTTCAGATCTACTGGTGGCTCTTCAGGAGGAAGATGGGCAATCTTCTTTAGGGCAATTTATAGCTTCCGAAAGCTTGCTGTAGTCAGTCACAAATTTGTTCTGACTTTTTTTTTAAGTCATTACATTAAAATACATCATCACAAATGTGGCTTGTCCACTGAAAATTAATGGAAGACCACTGAAAAATACCCTCTTTAGACTCACCTTAAAATAAGCAAATAATAAGGGTGACAACAATGATAATGATATAAAGCAGAAGGCAAATGCCAAAAGCTATTTAAGCATACATATTAAGGAAGGAACTTACTCTTTCAGACCAGTCTCAGCACTATTTCCAGATATATCTGAACCAAGAGAAATGCCAGCAGGAGACTGTCGTCCAGTGAAACCAGATGAAGAAAAGGAGATTCCATATGGTTCAAAATTGAGAACTATAATTTTAAAACAAAACAGAAGTTCACATTTAAAGTAAAGCAAAAAATAAGAGGATTGGTAAGACAAAACTCATAGAAGTTAATTAAGACTAGAGGTAGCTGGAAAAGATCTAATCAAATTTTAAGAGTACAAGAATCATAGGGTTAAAAACAAGATCCTGTCTTAAGAGTATATAAGTGCAATTAATAGATAAGTTACAACAGGTACATACAGTTCGTATTTAGTCTTCTTTTATTTACTGTAAATACGAAGGCCTGGTGGTCTAGTGGTAAGGAGTTATGCAGCCAAACCAAAGGCATGAGATTTGAATTCACCAGCTGCTCCATGGGAGAAGGAAGGAACATCGCCTCCCTGTGCGATTAACTGCCTCTGAAAACCCACAGGAGGGTCACCTATGGATTGGTTCTGAATCTACAGTAAACAACAAATAATCTTACACTACAAGGTATCTGAATATAAGCTGTCCTTCATATACTGACACAGTTACTGGGGCAATGGTGTGTCGGAATCAGTGAGACTGGCTCAGGACAGGGCAGGCTTCATAGCTGTTATACATAGATAGGATCACTATGGGTCATAGGTAACTGGATGGCACATAACAACAACAAACATATATGTCTTTTCATCTTCATGAGAAGTAAAAAGAGAAAGTTAAATTAGGAAAGAGACCTGATGGATTGTGTGTATTGAAAAACTTGCTCACATTCAAAAATGTTCAGTGAGCTATGAATGACAAGATGACCAAATTTTCACTTAAAAAACTCTCAGGGAATTTTCTGGAGTATGAACTAATGGAGCCCTAATGAGAAACTTTTTTTTACTTCTTTGAAACCGTACACTTCAAATTCTATCAGAATCAGAAAAATTCATGTTGTAGTGAAACTGATGTCTACCTCAGTTTCCATTCTCCCTTCCTAAGTAACAGAATCAATCCTCAGAAACAAACTAATTCTAGAGCTCTCTGCAGTGTTAACTGAGTTCTGGTCAATGAAATCATGCACAAGTTTTGTGAGCAACTTCTGGGAGAAATCGTACTAGAAAACTTCTTCCATTTCCCTCTTTCCCCTTCCTGTTTTCCAGACGCCAGCATGACTGCCAGATGCAAGCAGCCATTTGGAACATGAAATGACACACCAAAGATGCCAACAAGAAGAGAATGGAGTCTGGATTTTTTAAATAATCATAAAGTTGTCATCAACTTTAGGCTGCATACTTCTGAATTTCTTTAATGAGTGAGAAGAATCACTTTTTATTTTGTTTAGGACACTACTTCATTTTTTAATTTGCTCAAAAAAAAGAGTCAAAATTCATGGCTGCCAAGACAGATTCGCAGCTTGGTTTTTCAGAGGCTGTGAATCACACAGGAGACAGCCCACCTTTCTCCTGCAGAGGCACGGATAGATAGATTCAAACCACTAGAGGTGCCACCTGTGAGTTAGAAACACAACCCCCCACAGACTACACCACCAGAGATCCTCATCCAAACGCAGATGAGCCTGATCTTACTGGCACATCTGGGACGTCTAGATTATAATACAAAGGATATTATAAAAAGTGTCTTCTATAACATAAATGTAAGCTTTTGTAACTATTATCAAAGAAGAGAAGTGGTAGAGAACCTGAAATTAGAGTGGTTTATATCTAAAAGAAAAAGTTCTTATCTTTAAAACATTTGAAGATAATAGTAAACTCAATAAAAATAAATCTGCAACTGAAACCATATCTAGCTCAACTACAAATAAGACTGATCAAGTCACCCACTCTAACAACCTGACAGAAAAAAGGGAGGATCCCTTTCTGGACATGAGTACCATTCATGTCAGGCTCTCATGTTTTTTTTCGTACAAATATTTCAGCATACAATTAAAACAAACAAGACATATGGAAAAGTGAGAAAATGTGACCCACAGTCATAGGGAGGAATCATCGTCATCTTTATCTTTTCATTGCCTTTTAAGTCATAAACTGAGCTTCCATTGGGTTTACAAAGCTGTAAATCGTGTAAGAGGAGACTTTCTCCTCTGGAGTCACTGGGAGTTCAAAGTACCAGAAAGCTGCCACCTCTGGGTTTAGCAGCACAGCTTCCTGTGAGCTGCCCTGCCAAAGCACCCTACATGAGGTGAAATGGTATAATGGATTCGTACAGAATGCAGATAATGGGATTATCATGAAGTTTAACATTTTATTCCTGATAAAAGTGGTGATACTGGAAAGGATGGAAAGCATGCATACAGAGATCAGATACTTTTCCAAACAGAAAAAAAAAGCTCTATAAAAAAAAAACCTCACCAAAACTCAACCATGAGAAATACTGGAATGAGAATGTTAGAATTTAAAAGTAAGTATGACTTTAAAAATGACTTTGTTAGATTGACCTACTGGGGATGAACCAGAGGACAGGATCAGGGAATGTGAAGACAGGTCAACAGAAACTGTCCATGCAAAAGCGCAAATGGTGGGGGGCAGGGATGGCAATCAGGAAAAAAGAAAAGTTACAGAACAACTAAGGTCTATGAAACAATCTCAAAAAGTCTGCCATGTAAATGGAATGAGACAGGAAGGAGAGAATCCAACAGAAAAAGTATATAAGGAAATGAGGACCAAGAATAAGTAAACTCTGATGGAAGATCCTGTCAGGAGGGCAGTCCATCACGGCCCTAGGACTCTCATTCGGACCTAATCAGAATGTTCCCTGATAGTGGAGGCTCAGAAGCAAACTACTTTTTGTTCCAAATTCATCTATCTTCTTCCTCTTTTGTACACAGAGTGAACTATTCTTATTCTGTTCATGAGTGTATGCCACATGGCTCCTGGCTCACCTTAGAGTGTCTGTTTCTATGTCTGTTATATGCAAGGAGGGAATATGGTCTTTCAAATGCAACACAGAAGAAAGGTGTGTGCAGACCACCAGCTCTATATTGGTTCGAGGTGACAGTTATTGGCCACGGAGGATTGATGTCAACCACTGAAGCTGGCTTTTCCCTGTCTGTGTGAGTAAAGCACTGTTCTATCCAGTTAAAAAAAGGGGAGGAGGGGGAGAAAAAAATCACTGGCTCCAGAGCTATACTCTCAACAAATATATTCCACTATATATTCCCTCCAAAGGATACTGTACTGAATCCAGAGTATAAATTAAATGCTTGTTTGTTGGTTGAAGGAATAATACAGAAATCGGTATGTAGTAAAAATAAATTGGAGAAAAGAGTTCATAATATAAATCAGCTGTTAACTAGGTATATTAAACATTGATTTCTTCATCATTAAGGTGATAGGTCTGGACTACAAAAAAGGAGCAAAAAGGGGGCATGATTTTTAAAAGCTTTCCTATTTATAATCAAGTTTGGGAACCATTTGTCTAAGGCTTTTTTCAGCTAGAATATTCCCTCATTCAATTTTCTCAATCTCATTTAGCCTTTTACACACTGCTGACCTTCCTTTAATACCTTCCGGTGGCAGTGTGTTACAAGCTGAAAGGTCAGCAGTTTTCATTCGCCAGCTGCTCTATGGGAGAAAGGAGTAGTAGTGTGATTCTGTTAAAAGCTACAGCCTTGGGCAAAAGACACAGAATTTTCACAGAGGAAGATATTCGAATGGCAAAAAGACACGTGAAGAAGTGTTTCAAAACACTGACAATAAGAGAGAGGCAAATCAAAACCACAATCAAGTATCATCTCACTCCAGTAACTGTGGCAAAGTTTAACAGGGCAGCAAGTAATAGACATTGGAGAGGATGTGGTGAGAAAGGAAATCTTATACATTGTTGTGGGGTTGTAAAATGGTGCACCCATTCTGGAAAGCAATTTGGCACTTCCTCATAAAGCTGAACATAGAAATTCCATATGACCCAGCTATTCTACTACTTGGAATATACCCTGAGAATATGAGAACTGAGGTATAGACTGAGATTTGTACACCAATGTTCATAGCAGCACATGGAAACAGCCCAAATGTCCAACCACAAATGAATGAATTGAGAAATTATGGTACATTCACACAGTGGAATACTATGCAGCATGCAGGAGCAATAACTGTAAATTATTACCTAACTTGGGAGGGACTGGAGAGCATTATGCGGAATGAACTTAGTCCCACAAGAATAAACATTATATAAAACCATTATTGTAGAATGAGTATAAGGATCCAGGAAGGGTGAGAGAGGCTGGAAGCAGAGGGATGTGGATGTACAGGGGGAAGAGGGGATTAATCATTGGGTTGTACAATTTGATGGGGGGGTGGTGAGGGAAATGGAAAGAATTTGTTTGAATTTGTATTAAAATTTTGTAAAGAAACTAGTGTGGGGGGAAAGCCTACAGCCTTGGAAACCTGATGGAGGGTCAAAATCAACTGCAAGGCATTAGGGTTTGGGTTTGGGTCTTGGCTGTAGCCATGCAGTCTCTGCATTAACATTTCCAGTAACAATCACAATAGTAAATAGCTCAAGTTATAGACTGTTGTTGTTGACATTGCTGGGTACCACAGAGTCTGAACTGACCCACAGCCAAACTTCCAGCGGGTTTTCAGAGGCAGTTATCTCACGGGAGGAGATTGCCCATCCTTCTTCCGAGGAGCAGCTGGTGGCCTCGAACCACGTACCCTCGGGATTTCAGTGCCACTTCTTACCACAATTTTACTTTGTTTTTCTTTACTTCTTGTTGTGTACTGTCGAGTCAGAACCGACCCAGAGCTGACTGTCCGGTGGGTTTTCAAAGACAGTTAACTGCATGGGATGAGAGTGCCCATCATTGTCTCATGGAGCTGCTGGAGGATTTGAACCATATGTACCTACAAGATTGCAGTGCAGCTTCTTGCCACTAGGCCACAGGTGCTCCCTTTTTCTTTACTATATATCATATAAGAAAATAAGGAAACTGATTGCTCTTTGAGAGAAAACTGAAGTTTCCATGTTATTAGTATGCCTGTGTTAAATAACGTATCAGAAGTCTTAATAAATCTAATGTTTCTATCTATAAAAAGATAGCATCAAACTGATCATGAGCATTCATAACATTTTTGGTCTCATTTTAAGATCAACGTTTTGTTGTACCACAGAAAAATAGAAACTGGTTGTCATGGAGTTGATTTTGACTCATGGAGATCCACCTGCATCTTAGTAGAACTGGGACACACAGGGTTTTCAAGAGCTGATTTTTCAGACGTGTATCAGATCTTTTTTTTACCAAGCTGCTGCTGGTTGGACTCCAAATATCAACTTCTAGTTAGCACATTAACCATTTGTACAACCCAGAAAGAGAGAAAACCTTTTAACATTTAACTGTATTACAATACAGTCTGACCTCCTAAAGAGATTATTGTCTAGTTACGGTGGTTAGATGCTTCCAACTCATAGTAACCTATGTACAATGGAATAAAACTCTACTTGATCCGGTGTCACGATCACATTCTCTGCTGAGCTGTCATGTGTCAGTCCATCTCATTGAGGGGTCTTCTTTTTCACTGAATGAATGTATGCAACCTCTTCTCATTTTGAGATGTGCCACACCAGTAAAGGAAGGTTCTTCACTGGCTGAAAGGTTTATTCTGCCTACATCGTTAAACCAGACGCTACTCTGAGGTGGCAGTTCTACCCTCATCATATTCTGAGTGACTTTCCACCTGAGGGCCTCACGTTGGGGCACTCTCTAGGACACTATTCCTCTGCTATCACATGGCTGTAAAGTGTACAGAAGGAGACTGCCCATCTTCCTCCCTCAGAGCCACTGGTGGATCTGGAACACTAGAGAGGTGCTGCCTTTAGGCTATCAGCACAACTGCTTATAGACTATGCCACTGCTGCCAATCTTTGAAGCTGCGATGCAGCTTCTTTACTACTAGGGCACCAGAGCTCCCCTAAAGATAGAGCAGAGGTGAGGCAGAGGTGTATTTACTAGTCTCCCTTTATTTATATTCATATTTGTCAATATCTCAATAATCTACCCGTTGTCAAATTCATGCTAACAATCTCTTTCTGACAGACTACATTTCTTAGATGTAGTTATTTTTCCCTTTCTTAGCTTCATTGTTTTTAACTTCACTGACCAGGTATTTTATTGAGGATAGGATCTAAACATATGTAAGAAATGAAACTCACTAGCAACCATGATTTCTTCTAAAACGTTCCGGTCCTTCACAACAATGACCAATATAATACCATCTTCAAATTCTTTCAAAATCTCAGTATGACTTTAATCATAGCTCTGGTATATATGTATTTATCTATCTGGTGTGTCCATACTTGTGACTTTAGAAAACCTCTAAATTAACTTTTTATTCCCTTCTTGTTGTTGTTGTTGATTCCCTTCAAGTCGAGCATGACTCATAGTGACCCTATGAACAAAAGGCCTGAAGCCTTTCTATAACTACTGACATTTACCAAAGTTCATAGAGTTTCCGGAGGCATGTTGTTTAGGAAGTTGATGCCACTCCTGTTTCTAACTTTATTGCCCCTAGGTATCTAAAAATGCAGGCAGGGCAAACAAATCACAAACATATTTTTTTAAAGACTTAAATTGAAAAGATTTTTAAAATTATTATCCTCAGTTGTTTATTTATGTGATTATAATACCAATTACACAAAAAATTATGTCATCACAATCTAGTTTACGATAAATCATGATTACATTTTCATACTGGTGATGGCTGCAAAATATGATTAGTATAATTGATGTCATTAAATTATCTAAATGAAAACTGTTAATTGCCAAACGTGTTAAACACACACACACACATATTACATTAAATGGGAAAAAATTACCCTTTTCCTGAGAAAGCTTTTCCTCCTGGCGTTGGTGATGAGGTTTGTAAGGTGCAGCCCCTTGACTGAGTCCTTCGGCCACAAAACCATCCAGAAAAGATAACGAAGCATCTACCTGTATTAAAGCAAAGCAAAGATTAAGAATAAAATATACATAAAAATATATATTATACATATACACACACACACACACACACACACACACACACTCTCTCTCTCTCTCTCTGTCGAGTTGGAACTGACCTACAGGTCAACTCTCCAGCGGGCTTTTAGAGACAGTAAATTGCACGGGAGAAGGCTGCCTATCCTTCTCCGGGAAAAAAAAAAATAAAACACACACACACAAACACTCTCTCACACACACTCTCTCTCTCTTAAAAAGTAAAGGACCTATACCCAAATATTTTAGTCTACATATCCTAAAACTAGATATACTTTAAGAGAAAAATGGAAACTTGAGTTTGAAAAGTGCTACTAAAGTCTTTAGCTTTCTAAAACATCTATAATCACAATTATCAATTAAGAATCTAATGATAAAAGTAATTTTCAGTTGTTAAATTTTCCAACATTACAGAACAAATTTTTAAGTAACCAGTACTTTAGGGTATGTTAGGCCCTATGACTGAAACAAAGGAAGACAAAGTTTCTACTCTCCAAAGACTAGGAGCCTACTGTTGTTGTTGTTGTTGTTGCTAGGTGCTGTTGAGTCGGCCCTATAAACAACCGATCTGAACACTGTCCTATCCCGTGCCATCCTCACAATCTGACACACTCAAACCCATTGCAGCAGTGACTGTGTCAATCTACTTGATTGAGGGTCTTCCTCTCCTTTGTTGCCTTTCACCTTTCCAAGCATGATACCCCTCTCCAAGGAATAACCTCTCCTAGCAACATACCTAGCAACATGTATGTAATACGAAGCTTCATCATCTCTGCCTCCATGGAGCACTCTGGCTGCCCCTTCTCCAAGACATATCTGTTTTGTTCATTTAGCAGTTCCTGGGATCTTCAGCACTCTTCCCCAAAACCATATTTCAAAGGTATCCTTAGTCATTATCCAGCTCTCAAATGAAGAGACTGAAAAGACCATGGCTTGAATATGGTGCACCTTTGTCCTCAAACTAACATCATTACTCCTCAATAATTTGGAGAGGTTCCTGACTGCAGACTTTGCCACTGCAATTTCTCTCCTGACTGCTGATACCAAGTGTACTGACTGTGGGTCCACATGAGATGAAATTGTTAAGAGTCTCAATCTTTTCTCTCTGTCCATCATGATGTTGTCTATGGGTGCAATGGTAAGGAATTTTGTTTTCTTGGTGTTGCAATGCAATCCATATTGAAGGCTACAGTACTTAACCTTCTGCAGCAAGTGCTTCAAGTCCTCCTCATTTTCAGGAGGAAAGGTGGTGTTATCCATGTAACAAAGGTTTTTGATGAGTCTTCCTCTACATTTTTCTTCCTAGAGTCCAGCTTCTCAAATAATTTGCTCAGCATACAGATTAAAAAGAAATGAAGAAAGGATACAATCCAGACACACACCTTTCCTAATTCTAAACCCTGCAGTAATTTTTGTTCTGTTTGCACAAGAATTTCTTGGTCTAGGTATAGGTTTTGCACAAGCACAATCAAGTGTTCTATAACTCCCATTCTTCTAAACGTTATTCATAATTTGTTACGACCCATGCAGTCAAATGTCTTTGCATACTTAATAAAGCACAAATAGACATAGTACTTTGTGGACCTGTAGTTTTCTTCAGCTTCAATTTGAACCTGCACATGTCTAAATGATGGCTTGTTCCACAGTTAGTACCTGGTCTAATTTCAACTGCTAATATTGAGCTTCTCCAAGGAATTTCTTCAACAAATGTAGACAATCTGATTCTTACGCAGTCCATATGGTGAGGCTCAGGTGTAAAATCACTGATTTTGTGCTGTTCTTTTAAAAAAAGGTATTTGTAAAGAATAAATCATTGAATGTACAAAATACAATCATTCTCTTTCCAGCCTCATTTCTGTCACCAAGTCCAGACTTTCCACCTACCCTTCCTTTGTCATTGTTTCCAACTTCTGTATTCTAATCATTAATTATCATCAATACATCTTGATTGCAAGTTTGGTCAATTTTGGACTTCAAAATTTATTAAAAACTTCAATTTCCACCTCTTTAGCTTTAGCTCTAGAAGCACAGATTTTAATAATAGTATTAACCGGTCTTCCTTGTATGTGTATGGATAATATCCTTTCACTCACAACACTGTACTTCAGGATAGAAGTTAAAATTTGTCTTAACATGAATGCAATACCATTCTCACTGTGTCTAGGTCACACTAATGTACATAATATGAAGTACAGTAGCTTTATTAGCTTTCTACAGCTTAAACTAGAATTAGCAGAGCTGTTTTTTTCTACAGATCCCAGGAAAGAATCTGATCCTTATCTCTTGCTGATTCTGCGGGTCAGCTTTACTTGACTTATGTGGCCACATTTATTCCAATTTCTGCTTTTTATCACTTTGCCTTCCTTGAACGTCTACCTCCCTTAGTAATTATATCACATTTACCTGGATAACCTAAAATAATCACAGATCTTCAATTTAAGCACACCAAAAAAGTCCTTTATCACATAAGGCAACATATTTACAGATTCCAAGAATGAGGAATACCAGTGGACGGGGAAGCATTATTCAACCTAAAACACCATCTTTGATTTAATTATGCTGTTTAGCTTTTATCTAAATTTTTTTTCACATAAGAGTTACAGATAACAAAGGTAATAGTATTACATACATAATCCTCCATTAACAGTAACAGCAAGCACCTGTCTATAAATGAATACACAGGAAGGCAGGCAGACCAACAGAAGCAGGTGAAAGGAACACCATCAATGGCAATACCTCGATTTGGTAGATGATATTCTTACATGTTTACCTATATATGTTATAAATGCATCTATGTATATAGCAAACGGGGGGAAAGTGAAATCTATTTGGTCATCATAAACAAGCTCAAGTCTCATAGTTTCAGGAACAGCAAAGTCAACTGCAAATGAAAGTCAATCATAATCATAGTACACAAAGATACTGCTTTACATCCTGCTTTGGTAAGCAGAACTAGCATGTTAAAACCTTGTAAACAGGCATTTAAGGTGCCACATACAGATTTTTCTCAGTCTAGAACAAAAGAGTTGCAAAGAAAAACTCCAAAGATGCATGGAAACAGTTCAAAGTACGAAGGGACCACTCTCACTTCAACTTTTACAACCCCAACACCAAAAACTAGATGATGGCCAGCTACCACTGCTAACTGCTCTGAAAGGAAACACAATAGAAGATGCTGAATAGCTGGCATTGTTAGATGCCATCGTATTGACTAAAACTCACAGTGGCCCCATCAACTACAGATCAAAACTCTGCCCTACCTGTGCCATCCTCAAGATCTCGGACATGCTCAAGCTCACAGGTGCAGTTATTATGACAATTCTTGTCAAGGGTCTTCCTCTCTTTCACTGTCTTAACTTTTGCTATCATGACATCTTTTACCAAAGACTTATATCTGCTGGTGACATGCCCAAAATATGTGAGACAATGTTCTACCATCTCTAAGGAGGACTCCAGTTGTACTTTCTCAAAGACAGGTTTGTTTGTTCTTTTGGAATATTCAATCTTCTTCTCCAACATCACAATTAAAAGGTATCAGTTCTCTTTCTGTCATCCTTACTCACTGTCCAAATTTCAGATACATATGAAGTAACTGAAAATATCATGGCTTGCATTAGGCACTTCAGTCTTTAAACTGATATTCTTGCTTTTTAGCACTTTAAAAAGGTCCTTGCCCATATGCCCAAAGCAACACATCTGATTTCCTGACTGCTGCTTTCATAGATGTTGATTGTGAATTCAAGTAAAATGAAATTGTAGACAACTTCAATCTTTTCTCCACCTCTCATGATGTTGCTCATCAGTCCAGTGGGGAAGATTTGTTTTCTTAATACTGAGATATAATACTGAAAGCTGTCATCTTTGATCTTAATACTGAGATATAATACTGAAAGCTGTCATCTTTGACGTTCTTCAGTCAAGTGCTTCAAATCTTCTTTATTTTCACAAGGAATGTTGTCTGCATAACGCAGATTGTGGGTGAGTCTTCCTCTGATCCACATAGCACATTCTTCTTCATAGAATCCAGTTTTCTCAATGATTTGCTCAACATACAAAGTATGGAGAAATTATACAACCCTGCCACAGCTTTCCAGATTTGAAAGTATGCCGTTCCCTTGTACTGTTTGAAAGACTGCTTCTTCATTTATACAGGTTTCACATGAGCACAATGAAGTGTTCTGGAATTCCCATTCTGCTCAATGTTACTGATAATTTATTATGATCCATATAGTCAAAACATCCTTCTCTGCTTTTAGCCAAGATCCATTTGACATCTGTTAACCCTCTTTATGAAATAATAACCCTCTGGAACGTCTCGCAGTTCCCTGTCAATGTACCATTACAGTTTATTTTTTTAATTTTCAGCAAGATTGTACTTGTGTTCAAGAATGACCACACTCTGTTGGATCATCAGTTTTTGGGAGGAGAACAAATATGGCTCTTTTCCAGTCAATAAGCCAAGTAGCTGTCTCCACATTTCTTGGTATAGACCAAAGAGCACACCCAAGGCTCTGTTACTGTTGTGTACCGTCAAGTCAGGATTGACCCACAGCTGACCCTCCAACAGGTTTTCAAGGTGATTAATTGCATGGAAAAAGACTGCCCATCCTTCTCCTGCACAGCAGCTGGTGGCCTTGAACCATGTGTCTTTGAGAATGCAGTGCAGCTTCTTGCCACTAAACCACCAGAGCTCTCTTGACCTTTATCAACTAATATTCCATCAGTTCTTGGGGCCTTATTTTTTGCCTTCAGTGCAGCCTGAACTTGTTCTTTTTTTACCGTTGGTTCTTTATCATATGCTACTGAAATGTTTCAGTGTTGATCCTTTTTTTGTACAGTAACTGTTTATTCCTTTCCTCTTCTCTTGATGTTTTCTGTCATTCAAGATTTTGTCCATAAAATCCTTCAGTATTACAACACAAGGCTTGAATTGGTTTTCCAGTTCTTTCAGCTTA